TTTGTTCAAGAACCAAGTTTTAGTTGGAACAAATTTTAGTCAAAAACCAAAAAAAAGTATTGGAACAAGTTTTAGTTAAGTCCATTTCTGTCATTGTTCAAAAACGTTATAGAAGCAAAGTAGAACAAGTTCACTCAAGTGTAATTTCGTTCATATTTCGTAGAAACAGGTACATTAAGGCTAAGTTTTTCCTTTATTTTAACATGATATCGTAATTACACAAGTTGGATAACGAGGCATAAAGAAAAATTCGTATCCCAGAATTTGCGTATATTTTGCTAGTCGCGCAAATTACATATATTTTTCTAGTTTTGTAAATTACCATATTCTTCATATCGGGACTGCATATTCAGTTCAATATTTCCTTCTTCCGGTCAAAAGAGCAGAGAGTTTATATATATACAGTATTAAAAGTATTTTCATTACCATCGAGCTATAATCAATGGGCAGACCTCTATTGGGCAACCTCTGATCAGATGGTAAGTTATATACCGAGTCTGCTATGGCCGAGCGCCTACGAGCGAGCCCAGTTGGTCAAAATACAGAGCCTAGTATGGCTGAGCGCCTATGAGCGGGCCTACTACGGCAGAGCAGTTATATATATAAACCAAGCCTTATAGAGTCGAACAACTATTTTACTAACTATATCGAGAGAGTTGAGTGAGTATCAGCAGATGAGCATATCTTCAGATTTTCTTTAACCCCCAGTTGTTTTCAGTTATTATATTATAGTTCAGTTTCAGCTTCAGTATATTGCCTTACATAATCGGTACATTATTTCGTACCGACATCCCTTTCTGGAGGCGCTGCATTTCATGCGTGTAGGTTCAGACAAACAAACGGGTAGACCTCTTCAGTAGGTGTAATCCGAGTTCAGCTTTATCGGTAAGCTCCCCTTCTTTCGGAGTTGCCGAGTCTAGCAGTGTGATGTATATCTTGTGTATATATGTAGATAGGTTATGGGTAGGTCGGGGCCCTGTTTCGATCATAATACATCTATCGGTAGAGGCTTGTAGACATATCATGTCGGTTAGTGCAGTATGTTGGGCTTGTAGGCCATATACGTATATTTTGTTGGCTTGTCAGTTGTAGTAATTATGATGACCTTGCCGGTCCAGCTTTATGTTGACGTTAGTCAGCGTTAGTCTCCATTTAGTTTTATATTTTGTATCGCACATTATCTTGTAATGTGGCCCATTGCCAAAGTATGACATTACATGTTCAGAATCTCTTAGTCGCAAGTGGTACGCAAGGATAGATGAGGCACTAGGTGTCGGTCTCTCCCCCGGGCTCGGGGTGTGACACAAATAGCGTTCAAAGTAAATGGTTTTGAATTTTTGTCCCCGCCTGCCCTATGGCAGAACATCAAATTTAACAAGTGTTGCTCATAGCCTGCCCATAGACAACACTTTTAATTTTTGGCCTTGAAACTTTGACCATGGGGCAAGCGGGGTCAAAAGTTAAAGACCGTGCTAAAAAGTAGAGAAATTTTCATAAACCACTATGTTTAGTGATTATTAGCTTGTTATAGCTAATGTTTACTAAATTACTTCCTATAGCTATGTATTCAGTTGTTATAGGCTGTATTCGATGTATTTTTACTACTGTATTCATGAATACAGTAGCAAAACTCGACGGAAAATAGAGGAGTCCAGCTAAGCAGTGTATTCGACTGTATTCACGAGCTGTATTCGTGAATACAGTAACAGAATTTGCGAAAAAAATATCTTCAACTGTTTAAAAACGGTAAGCGAATCAATTAACGCGATAGACTCCTAATATAACTCAACAAACTCAATTATAACACACAAAATTTGTATTTTCAGTTATAAAAAAGATTCTCAACCGAAAAACACCCCAAAAACAGAGCAATCTTCAGAGATTAAATCCATCCTTTCTTTTTTTAGTGGTATCTTTACTCAAATATTTTTTAGTGGTATCTTTACAAATAGATTTATATATTAAAATTATATAATTACATTGATTACAATTAAATACATAAAAATATATACATTTGAATACATAAATTATATTAATTAAAAAAACATATGAATACATTGAATACATACTGCTGAATATATACTACTGGACAAAACGGTGAAAGAAAGTGAAGCTTTGAAATTATATAATTACATTGAATAAAGTTAAATACAGTGCATATATTGAAAAAGTAGAAAAAATTTAAGACAGTGAATACAGTAAAATACATGGAATACGGCGAGATACGTTGAAATACAATGAAAAAAAGGTAACAGACTCTTCAAGTTCCTCAGCCCCAAACTCCGTCCCCAATCCACCGATATCCAGATCGTCGCCATGTGGGGTGTCACTGCCGGTTAAATGAAGACAGTTGTTGAAGAAGCACCAATTTAAAGGATCAAACGGAAACTAGAGACAGAACTTCTTCAAATATCACAAGGCAAACATGAACAATCAATGCAAAATCTAAGAAAAATTTAGAATGTGTAATACAACTGTGTGAAAGAAAAGCCGGTCGGATGAGGGGGTTAGGGGTGACACAACAAGGAAGGGGGGAAGTGGTTGTCAGCCGGATCTATCGTTGGCGGAACACAACCCCTGCTAGGGTTTCTAAAAGCAGGGGAGGAAAAAATCGGGGGAAAAGAGAAGAAAGAGGAAAGAGAGGGGAGAGAGAAAAATAATATCTAGCGTATTTAATGGCTTAAAGGTAGGAAGTTGCTATAAATAGATATTTTGCTATAAAATTAAAAGATAGCTATGAGAGATAATTTTTTAAAAGGGTATTTATTTATAATAAATAAGGTATCAACATTTGCTATATGAGGTAAAATTTCCTAAAAAGTATCATATTTCCGCAATTTTTTGGATGCTGCCGATGCACAATTCTAGAAGTTGGCCCACAGATAATAGTATCCTAATGGGAGAAATTCAAAAATAGCCAGATTTACAATTGGTCGTTCAAAAATAGCCCCGTTTCAAAAGTAATCGAAATTTAGCTACTTTTCATGTAAAGATAAATCTGAACGAAAACAATGTTCAAAACCCGAAAAATACGTCAGTATATTATACTGGAGTTCCAGGATAAGTATGCTGGAACTCCAACATAATATGATGGAGTTCCAACATAAGTATACTAGAACTACAGCATAATATACTGGAGTTCCAGCAAGTATAATTGTCCAGTATAATATACTGGAGTTTGGAGCACCGGTGCTACAGTCTCCAGTATATTATACTGGAGTCAGCAAAGTATACTAGTCCAGCATAATATGCTGGAGTTCATACACAGGTGCACCGAACTCCAGTATATTATGTTGGTCCGCTCTCTGTTGCAGCAAAATAGTGACTATTTTTCATTGACTTCGTAAATGCTGACTATTTTTAAATGATCAGTCCGAAAACTGGCTATACCAAGCTATTTTTTCATGAAAAATGGACCTCACATGCTATTCTACCGAACCCAGCCATAAGCAACCTCACTACCTCAGTCCTCGGTGAAATTTGGAAGACTACAGCTTTAGATAAACTGCATTTTTCACAGCGTTCAATCCCTCAATTTCTGACAAATTTTAATTTTAATTAATAAATTCAGAAATTTTACTATTATGTTTGTTTCTGGATTTTTCCACTAAAAGCTCTTATGCATCTAACAGGTTGTTATATCATGTGAGGCTCATCTTTAATGCTTCTACTCTATGTTTTCCAAGGAAATTTCACTAACAATAGAAAATTTCAGACCCTAACTGCACATATTTATTAGCGAAGGTTAAATGTATTTTATTAATTAGTATATTAAATAGACAATAGTACAGTTTTTCATTTCTTTAAAAACCAAATTGCAAACTTTCCTTTATAATATTTTCCAAAGACCTAAAAATACTATCTACCCTTCTTTGTTTAATATTCAGAACTCGGAATTCAAGAACTCACGTGCTTGGTCAAGATTTATATAGATCGTGAATTTGATTAATTAGTTTGACCTAACCCAAGAATTTTGGCATGATTTTAATATGTATAGGTGCACATGAATGCAATTAAAGCCCTTGCCAGACCTGTTATTACATCTTCAGTTTTATCTGCCCCAAAAATATCAATGTGATATTTATTCTAGTCAATACTACTACTAACTTAAAAATATCCTAGAGATACATACTCTCTCCGTCTCAGATTATATGTTATTGTTTCTAAAAATAATTGTTTTAAATTATTTATTATTTTAAAAGTTCAAGAGTAAATTAATTAATTTTTTTCTTATTCTACCCTTAATATTAATTGTTCTTGAAGATTACAAATACCTTAATTATGAGTAAGTATTAAATGAAGAGAGATTATATCTTACGACGTAAATAAGAAAAAAATAGTGAAAAATCTTTCCTATTTAATATTTTTAAGGGCCGAGTGAAAGAAAAACACGACAAATAATTTTGGGAGTATTGGAATTCTCTTTTTTAAACCCCTCCTTTGTTCTTCCCTGGCTTTCTTTTGATCTATTTTTCTCTTTATTATTTTTCTTTCCTCTCATTTCTTGGAAACCATGTGCTTATCTATAATGTGATTTCTAGGAAAAGCTTTGGCAGAAGCTTCCTACTTACTATACTTGAACGTATTGTAACTTTGCCAAAAGCAAAAGATCCATTGCCTGAGCTTTAAGTTTCAACTAGTGTTAGAAAAAACTATCTTGTTTCCCAAGTGATTCCTTTCCAAGTTCCAACACATTTCATTTAGTAAATATGTGTGTAATTGCAAGTTTGTAACTTTCAAGATTATTTTACTAGGAAAGTTACATTAGCGTGTGCTTTGTGTATTGTTCTTTTTTTCCTCATAAATAAACTTAAATCAATTTCCCTCTACCCCAACACCCTTGAGCACTGCAGACTGGAACATAATTAGCATCTTAAATTAAACTTATGTAACCATTGAACTAATCATTATTTGAACCAAGTTGGTTTTTGAGATACGAAATAGCAGGACTACTTGGTAAAATTAGTAATAGATAGAGCAGAATATTCTAACAATTGCTGTCTAAAAACAAAAGCATACTCGCTCTTCATTTCATAAGTAGACCAAAACAAAGTTCAGCACAAGCTTCTTAACAATTTACATGATACTACAACTGCCTGTATTCTCATCACTAAACATATGAGTAAAATTATCATGCACCGGAGCTCCCATAGGCGGCCCGTAACTCACGGCTGGATGCGGCCGGGCGTACATCATCGGATGGGCGCCGTACATATCATATCCGGCTGGCCGCTGTTGTTGCTGCTGGTTCATCATCATTTGTGCCATGTACTGTTGTTGTTGTTGGCTATAAGGGTTGCCCTGTCCCATCCCGGGGTAATACCCGGCCCCACCGGGGGCAGGTAGTCCTTGAGCTGCCGGCATATTCCCCATTTGGCCCATCGGATAGTTACCCATCTGGCCCATTGGGCCCATACTCATCGGGCCTCCGCCTTTTTGGCCCATACTCATCCCATGAGGTCCTTGTTGCATACTATTCATCATTAAGCCTCCATCCATCTTCCCTCCCCCACCATTCTTTCCTCCAAAACTTCCATTATTGTTACCTTTACCATTTACCCCTCCATTTTTACCATCTAGTAGACCCCCACCACCTCCATTTTTGCCACCATTTTTACCACCACTTTGATTCTGATTCCCTCCCTTACCCTGTTTTCCTCCATTATTGTTCTTACCATCATGATGATTTCCAACCATTCCCTTCATTTGTACAGGGATTTCAACCCCACCACCACCACCTTTCTTGCCATTTCCACCATTATTATTCATAGCCCCACCCTTTAAATTTGCATTCATCATTGCATTAATCCCTTGGGGTCCATGACCACCCCCCATAGCAGGCATCATTTTGCCGACCGGTCGGCCATCGAAACCATCATCAGAATCAGAATCAAACTCATCTTCATCATCGTCAAAATCATCATCGAACTCATCATCGAACTCATCCTCAGGCAAATTGAACTTAACAGATTTTTGGTCCTTTGCATTAGGCATCTTGAAATTATCCTTAGAACCTTTGAGGTTTTGCATCATCTGAAGAAACTGTTGTGCACCCCCACCCCCCTTTGGCTGTTCCTTATTTCCGCCGCCACCACCCTTTTGAGATTTGTTGTCTTTACCACCTTTGAAATTGTCCATTTGCATGTTCATGAACTGATTGTTCATCATATTGAAATTAGAACCTCCTCCTTTTTGTCCTCCCCATATCTCTGCATGTTTTCCTGATTTCACTAGTTTCTTTACCAGTGTGTTTGGATCAACATTTCCTGTCACTGTTACTTTACTTTGGTCTGCATCTATCTTCACAGTGTAAACTCCTGTTAAAAAATATAAATAATTCAGAAAAAACAGATCACAGATGCAAATTCTTAGGCCCCAAAGTATGCGAATATTTCATAGTATATTTCTTTATTAGCGTGTTGACTGCTAAATAATTCTAGTTTTAACATATGGGGAAGTGTTACAGAACATGTTTGACCAAGTGAAAATGAAGTAAGTTACCTTCAATCTTCTGCAGTTTTTTCTTCACTTTCTGTTTGCAGCCATCACAGTGTATATTCACTTTAAGAACACAAGTCTGCAATAACATAGATATCATAAGGTTCAATAACCAAAACAAGAAATGGCTAGTTAAGGTGGTTACAAGGATTCAAACATCAAATTAAGGTGGTACCACATGTTATAAAGTAAGATAACAAGAAATTTCAGAAAAATGGGAACACATGCTCTACTTCTAAAAAAAATAGCTCGGAGCACAAAATATCTGGCGATCACGCAGGTCCCGAGAAAGATGGGTGTTTTCACAGCTCGATAGAAAATAACCGCACCTTATATGATTTAGATAGACTATCCTAATGCAAGCGTCAGTGAGTGTTGTCACGGCTCGAATATGTGAGCTATAGATTACACCGAGACAACTATAGAGCAACATAGCCATAGAAATGAGTCTTGAGAACAATTCCAAAGGAATACCAAGACAGACTTTAATTTCTACTATATTGTATCACCTAAAAGATAACTAGGCAAAGGAACTTAGTAGCCTGAAAAATAACTCTAACCAGCATGCTACACAAGCTAAATTTACACTAGTATAAATTAGTAGTAAATCCAAAGAAATACAAGAGAGAGTGCAAGAAATTAGCTAGTCATACCTGAGTCTTCAACATTTCTTGTTTATTCATTCTGACAATATCAAGAAAACACCTTCAAAGGTTTGACACAGTAGCTCAAACCAAATAATGTAAACAGCTCAAACAACACACAAAGGAAACAAAGATTTAAGGAGTAGAAGGCGCTCAAGTAGGAGCTTTGAATGTTTGTTAAAACTTCAGAAACTGTATATATGAAAAAGGAGTAAGCTGAGATTTGAAGAGGAAATGGGAGAGAAACAAGGGAAGAAAGGCGGTCGGAAGAGTAAAAAGAGAGTAAAATATTTGTTTGTTAAAAACAAGTCGGTCTGATGGATGGGGTTGTGTGCTGTATTTGAAGGAAAAGAAAAAGGGAGAAAATATTGGCATGAGCTGTCACACTAAAGAGTTATGTCGGCTTCATGTCAAAGAAGAAGAAGAGATACACATTGCTGATTGCACTCATAGCTACTGTTCTTATTACAACTTGGCCCCCTGCTTTATATGATTAAGTGCACTCTTGAGTGTTGAGTTCAGAATTCTTTTTATAAGTATTATTTTATTTTATTTTATTGTTTTGTTTATTGGGTTTCGATTTTTTTAATGAGTTTTACTTTTCTTTTGCTTTTTCTTTCTGCTAGATATGTGAACTGAATTAGAAGATTTGACCACTGACAGACTTGGATAGCAACATTGGACTTGGACTTGCACCTTCTGTGTTCATGAACCTTGCCTAGCTCAATGTATATAGTTTATACTATATACTATAACAAAAACATCTCTGAACAATGTTATAGCACCATGCAAATATGTACGACGAAGAATAGCAAAGCAAACAAAGTATGCCCAAAAGTGAATCAACCCTTTAGACTGCTAGGAAAAAAATTATCCAATTTTAAAGTAGCACGATCTAATTCAAAAAATTTACCCAATTGAGCACGTCTAGCATTTTTTTTTTACAGTAGCGCTAACATCATTGAGTTTACCAGAACTCAATAGTTACAACTTGTTCAACACTATACTTTCATTATACCCTTCTAAAAGAAACATCGGCTCTAACAATTGCATCACTGTCTTCCAATACGATCGAAAATATATTTAAAAAGTAGACTTATGTGTATGAACTTTTATATATATAAAAATAAGTTTAAATGAACTCATAACTAACCAAATGGCAAGATCTGCCTATAACTCTTTTATAATTTCACACATATTATAT